GATGACATTACTACCTACTTCAAAACTGAGATGACATTACTACCTACTTCAAAATTTGTTAATACAAATTTTTGATAATGGATGCAAACGCGATTAGCACAGTGCCAAGAACATAATAAATGTTCAATGAATGAGGTGGTTGTTTATGTTCTTGTTTTCATTCTCCAGTTGTTATAATTTTTTAATATATTTTTTAGTTTTAGTTTGCACACAATACCTTTATTTTCTTTATTTATTTTTATGTGGTGCTGAGGATTGAACCCAGTGCCTCACACAGTGCTAGATGAGCGCTCTACCACTGAACCACAACCCCAGCCCCTGGTTGTTATAATTTGACAGACAATTTTATCTAAAGATGGGGATGGCATTTTACCTTATTTTTTTCTGAAACAGGATTCTGTCATTTGCAAATAGAGACAGAAATTCTTCTCTCTGCAAGTTGGTTTAGGACTCTGTCAAACAGAGAAGACTATACAAACACAATGATTTTTCTTTTTATTGTTAATGTCATTATTATTAGCAGTAGCAGTAGCAGTGTTATCACAATGACCTCTCAAATAGGAAAATACATTAATGTCTATTTCTTTCTCATTTACGGGACTCTGAATCTTTCTTCCTACATGACCTAGAAGGAAATCTGAGCCAGAGATTATCATGGTCTCACAGCTCGATTTTGCAACACAAGAACAGTGTCATGCTGCCTTGGATACTTAAAGTATAATATTAGATATGAAAATAGCACAGGTGTTCATCCTATATAAATTTCAAACTATAAGCAGTAATACTTGGAGGTAAAATATATTATTTTTATCAGAAAAACAGAAAGAGTATACACCAGAATTTCCAAGAGGGATCCTTTAACTCTGTTTCTATGGATTATGAGCAAGATTTTCTCTAATAATTTGCTCTTACTTTATCCCTCTCTCCTTCCATAGCTTCTAGTCCCTTCCTCACTCTCCCCCATCCTTTGTTTTCTTTTTTTACTTATTCATGTATGTTTAGGTGTCAGACAACCTCTTAGAAACAGGAGTAGAAAGAAAACCAACAAATCAGACAAGCCCCATTCTTTCTCCAACTATATATTCTGGTATGGAAACTGACTTAAAAATATAAAGAGTCAATAGACAAGACAATTACTCATTTAGTTGAGCTCAAACAAGAAAATTAAACAGAACAAATGGCAAATCTCTCTGTGGTCTGAAGCTGATACCTGAAATAAGATCAGAGAGATCGTTACGACCACAGTACATAATTCCATAAAGTGGGAATGCAATAAGCAAGGAGGAGCAGAATTTATTTGTTTCCAAGTTGGGAGTGCTGCTCAGCGCATTCTTCTGAGGAATAAATAAGATCAATAAAAGATTTTTTTTTCCCGTTTTTGTTTATCGAAAATATTCTAGCCTCAAGGATTTGATGACAGTGGTCTATGAACTACCTTCTTCTCTGAAGATCATGAAGGTAGTGGCATTGCACAGCCTGGGAGGGATAATTCACTGCCATCGTATTGACCACTCTAGCTACTCTGGCTCCAGGTGAGAATGCTTGCTGGAATAGCCAGAATCCTGGAGTAAATGGAATGGAGGAGGATGAGCCCACACAAGTGGTGTTGTTCACTAGTATGGAGCCAGCATTTTATGATCCAATTATACTGTGTCACTTTCTGAACTTGTGGACTGACCGACCAAGTACAGAGTCAATGTTACAGGCACTCTTTCAGAACCATATTGGTCTTATAGAAAGAGTCTCTGCTCATCTGTGAAAGTTTTTTTTTTAAATTTTTTATGGTACTAGAATTTTAAGTCTCTGATCAAAATTAGTGAACATTCTTAATAATTTTGAGGCAGAGCATATATTTCTTAAAAATAAAAGCACCTACTAAACCCCCTGCTATCGGTTTGTTCACCAAACATCTGTTAACCCTGCATATTATTATTATTATTATTATTTTAATATTATATTCATTTATTTGGTACAGTAAGAAGTTGTTATCTCTTTTCTTTCAATGTGCATGTTGGGTCAGCCAGAGGCCTGTGGTTTGGAATTCAAGAACTTGCCAAGGAGTGCAGTTAGCTGAGGAATTCAAGCCAAGCCCCTTCTCTTGCCAGGCAATGACTGAGCATGGTGGGTGTGATAAAGCCTGGCCCCTTTTCTGCAATGTAGGACTCCTAAGGGTCATCTTTGCTCCAAGGATCCCCAAAGGTTTGGCCAAGATGTTGTTTGGTCCACATTAACTTATCCTGCTTCTTCTTAGTCTTTCCTTGCTTGTGCAGCAGATCTGCATCTGATATGAAGGACTTCTCTACACAGGCTTTTTTTCCTGCCTCCTTTATCTTTCTTAGACACAAATCCCCAATAAGAATAAGCCACTTGTACTGCTAACTCTGTCTCAGCATCTATTTTCCATTGTACTTAAGAGATACACATCTTTTGGTCACCAGAAAGTGTATTAAATTCCATATGTTCACAAAATTAAAAGTCCAAGTGTTCAATGCTCTCTGTCCATTTTTTCTATATTTTTCTAATAGAAAAAAATTAAACAGTGTTCTCCATCTGTTTCTGCATGGCTCTATCCTCTCTCTCTAAAGACACATACCAATACACACACACACACACACACACACACACATTCATACCACTCTCAAAAAAAAAAAAAAAAACAAAGAAAGGAGGAGACTCATAGAACTAAACATTTTCCACTTTCATTTTCACACACTCAAATATAATTATTCAGGCATTTACACAAACTCTTTACATTTCAACCATATATCTGTCTGTTTCAGCTGTAGAATAAAGACTTACTCTTTGCTGATTGTCAACTGCATTGAGATTGCTTTAGTTAAAAACTTCAACCTCATTCACCCAACATATACAAAGCAACTACTATGTGAATTGTTCAAGCATCATTTCTCTCCATGACATTATATATGATAGTGTCAGAATAAATCTTCTAAAATATAAAACAGATATTTTATGGCTCTCATATTGGAAATTGTAAAGCTAAAATTGTTGTGTGTTTAGATACACATAATGATGAGTAGAAATTTAAATATTAGATAAAACCAACAACATTTAATTAAACAAATGAATACACACACACACACACGCACACATACACACACATACACATAAAGATATACGTCAATGAAGCCTAAAATTGCCCAAATATTTTAACTTATAGGGAGGGGGCTTTAATTATCTACATCTCAGTGTAATTTATTCTTAAGGTATAAATTATTTAAATGGCATTACCATGCTTCATTTATTTATGTTGAAAGAAAAAATCTGTCTTTCAAAATGGATCATGAGATATTTGCAAGCTGAGACCAGCCTCTATGTTTCTTTTTTCTTCCTATGTTTAATTCAGTGCCCGACACATAGTGAATGCTCAAAAGATATCTGCTGGATTAACATCTATATTATACTCCAAACAGTGAACAAAAAGACTCAAGTGAACAACGGCCAAGAATGGAAGAAGAACACTATTCTATTCCACTTAGGTAATTAGCACAGTGCTTTCTTAAGAAGCCCCGTACCATAATTATTGACTATGAAAGGTGAAGTGAAGTTCAAAGACATCTGACAGTAGCTTTGAAATTAGGGACCTGGAGGCAATTCCTAAGTCTGCTCCTAACTCTGCCACTCTAACTTTGGCCCAGTAATAGGACATATCCAGACTTCCTTTTCCCTTAAGACTCAGGGCTGACTGCCTGCTCTGCCACTTCTCCAGGGTGATCCAGAGACCCAATGAAATAGAATTTATGACATGCTTCCTTCCTGGCTGAGGATGAATATATAATCATACCTGCAATTAATGCACTTTACAAGAGTGCCTTCCTGCTTCCAAATCTAAGTTCAATTTTAAGCCATGACCTACTTATGAATAAATGTACTTTTTTTGTTTTACTTTTAAATGCATGAGGATTTTACTCCTTGACTTAAGAAAATAAAAAGCACACAGAAACTTTGAATTTTTAATTTAATTAAAAATTGCCTTAATAGCAAGTCATGGAAATTTATCTCAATAATGCTAAAAATAAATAAATAATATATGTGCAGGTGTGTATACACATATGGTATATTAATTTTTTTTTCTATTTGGAAATTTGCTGGCAAAACCACCGGATAGAGAAGAAAAACACAAAAAGATGCTGTTTTAATACTTATTTTTAAAAGAACTTTTAAGAATAATGTTGTACTTAATAATTTTAAAATGTAATACAAAAAAATCCCACAGGATTTAAAAGTTATTCTCTTAATATATTATTAAATTAAAACAATTAGAAAAATACCTCCTCGAGTCCAAAATCTACTGTTTTTATGATGTTATTTTCCAAAACTGTTTTTTAAATGAGAGTTGTTGTTTTTACTTTTATTTGCCTTTGATTGTTTTTAGAATAATTTAATTCATGATTTTTAAAAGTTGTACCACCAGTTCTCAGAGTACTGGCTGGGTTTAATACTGAACAGAAAATATCTTCATAAGAACTCTAAAGGATAGACAGGATAGACATCGGTATTCTGTTTTACCAAGGAGGACTCTAAGGCAAATGTAATACTATCTAACATGCACTGAATGATTTCCATATACCATATGCAGCATGTTGTATAGTTATTGCTTTATCTGATATTCATTCTAACACTAGGAGGTAGGTTCCATGCCCATTTTATAGATTTGTGAATTAAAACTTAGGAATTTACTTAGCAAGCACAATACAGCCTATGAATGACCGAATTTATATTTACCTTCTTATTCCAGCAAGAAAAATCATTATCAGAACATCTTAGAAACAGGTGATAGTCTGCATAGGCTCTGCCATTTGTTTTCATCAGTATCAAAGTGGTTGTAAAGTATACTCTGGTCCTCACAGTGCACATCCAAATAGTATGAATATAGGTGATGAAATACTTAGCCAGAACATTTCATAATCCAATCCCCAAGAAAAAAATGTTTCCCTGAAGCACAAACATGGTAAATAGAATTAAAAATGTAGGCCACAAACCTGTTTCAGGCTCAATGGAGAAATAAGGCTGCCCTTCCAAGATACTATAAACCAGCTTTGCACTGTTTCCATAAACTGGGTCATCAGCATCCGTAGCTGTTACATTAGTGACAGACGTACCTAATAAAAAGGAGAAGAAAAAAAGTAATAATTAGCACTTTAATTCTTCGCCAAGAGCTAAATTTTGCCAAGCATATCATACAGAAATCCATGTTGGGAATAAAGAAGAAAGAAATCTCTTTAAAAAAAAACGGAGATAAACTGCTGTGTCCTAACTTCAACAACATCCAAGTCTTTTAAAAGAAATGGTACTGCTAGGCTGCAGTACTACATAAAGGGGACCCTTTCAGTATCTGTATTATTTCAGATGTCTTTGTAGTTTTCATTTTAAAACTACCTATTAGATTCAAGTTGGCTTGGAGAATATGCAAAGGAATCGTATCAAAGGAATTTGAAACATAAGGTTAATAATATAATATAGCCATGTAGCATTTAGGTTTTGCAAAAACACAACTGAAAAAGCTGTACAAAAATATCAAAGGAATATTTTATCCTATCGTATTTAATTCCTCAGACTATAAAATTAGATAGGAACTACCAATTAATCAGCATGCTTAGATAATTAGGCCTATGGATAATAGAATCAAAATCTTTTTCTTTTCCAGATTAATCTTCAACAATTCAACACATGTCTTGCCTGAACTGGAGTGTATATTTTAAGACAAAACCTCTATACTCAGGAAGCTTACAGTTTGGTGGTGGGAAGGAAAAGAAGGAAACAGATGAATTTAAGGAGAAATCGAGCTGAATGTCATCGAGTCAAGGAGGGAAACCTCACTTGGTCCAGCATAGACAGGGTGGCCAAAGACAGGTTGCTGAGAGAGAATGCATCTAAGTTAAATCATGAAAGGCATGTCAACTTTAACCAGGAGTATGGTAGGGAAGGAGCTCCCAACAATGTGTCAAGCACAGTAAAGGCAAAGTAGCGACCCTGGACCATTTGGGGAATTTCTGAACCTTGGGATAACTTGGAGAAATCTGGATTGATAACAGGAATCATGGCCTATATGCACAGGGCCAAAGCCTTCCTCACTTGTGTCACACACACACAGTAATTACTGAATACATATTTAGTAACTGAACAAAAGTGTGAGTGAATAAGGAATCTGATGATTTAAAGAATGGTAGATGTCACAGAGCAGTTTCTTGGAAAACTGATGCTCAGATTTCTTGCAGAATTTTTACTGGAGGGTGCTCTGCATCTATCTATATGGAGACTGGGCAAGAGCACAAGGGTTGTGAGGCAATGACAACACAGGTCTCAGTGGACTCTATGTTGGCTCTAGAAAGGGGCTGCCCATCAAGGAGATAAGACCCAGCCTTCAAGCTTTAGCACTGAGGAGCCCTGAGGTATGAGCTGCCCCCTGAGCATGCACAGCTGGCATGATCCAGGCCGTCATTTTGGAAGACGACAACAGTGAAGTGGTTGTAAGGATCTGATCATCAGCTAGGGCTGTGAATATTCCAAACTCCCATGCACCTGGGGAAGTGTTTTAATCCTGAAGGAGATACAGTATGAATATGAGCAGAATACCTCAGTGATGTCTGAAAAAGGGTAAGGTCTTGCCATATCTTGCCAATCTAAATCTTTTTGAAATGTTTGAATTGCATTCACTCTTCAAGGTAATGTAACAATAATATTTGTTGAGAATTCATTAATCCTATAAAATTGAAATTTCTACTTGGAATGATCATTTTGAGATTCTAAAAAATCTACAGTTAACAACAATAAAAAAAATGCACTGAATACCTCTTGTGCAGCACGCTCCACCTTACACTGGGAATAATATATATCCACACCACACATGTGTGCACACACATATGAACACACATGTGTTTAAATCAAGACTCATAGATCTTGCTAGTGAACTGAACATATAAAAGTACAATATTTGCTGTTATTTGAAAATTACACTGGTTGTGGGAAGAATTGGAGGCAAAACCTTCCAGGTGAAGAAAGATAACAAGGAACAAGTGATAATAGGAACAATCCATTATCAAAGTTAAGGGTTAAGATTTGAGCTAAGGGAATACTTGAATGTCAGAATAGAGAGCATTGGCTTCACCATTGTGAAGCAGAGAAGATATTGCAGGTAAAGATCAGTCCTATGTTGGGGGTCACTGCTGCTCTTAGTGCTCCAAGATTTAATTGGAAATCAGAGAATATTAGGAGCACTGCTGGGAGGCACCTGTGATCCTCACAATTTGGAAGACTGAGGCAGGAGGATCACAAGTTTGAGGCCGGCTTCAGCAACTTAGTGAGACCCTATCTCAAAATAAAAAATAAAAAGGGATGGGGACATATCTCAGTCATAAAGTACCCGTGAATTCAATTCCCATTACCATCAATAAGTAAATAAGAATAAAAAGTAAGAAGGTCTGGCGATATACTCAGTGGTAAAGCACCCCTAGGTATAATTCCCCCCGCCAGTTTATTTTTTTTTAACTAGGAGAACAACTAATTATAATTTTACAGAAGAAGTCTACTTTAAGCAGTGGTCAAACATTAACACAGGGAAATTATGATAACAACAGATATCTATGCTAATTCCCATGATTTGATCCTTGTACTAATATGTTACACTGATCGTAAAGTGATAGGTGCCTGGGTTTGAATGTGTTGCACCCCAAATTCAGGAGGTGCCAATGGGTAGAAGTATGATAAAATAAATTTCTGTCCTTCATAAGCTTACCCAGTCCCAGGTATTCTGTTATAGCACCAACAACTAGACTAAGAAGAGGTATACAGCAACTATTTTTGCAACTTTTCTATAGGTCTAAAATTAATTTAAAAATATTAAAGAAAAAGAACAAATAGCGAGAAAAAGATTCATGAGAAAGGGGAAACTCTTTCTGTGCAGAAGACCCTGGGATGAGTTCATTTTTCTTTGCTGTCTAGTGTGTTCAATTTAATTCTTTTTATGGCATTACTGGAGGTTGTACCCAGGACTTCATACATGCTAGACAAGAAATCTGTCACTAAGCTACATCCCAGCGCTTTTTAATTTATTTTGAGACACTGTCTTGCTAAGTTGTTGAAGCTGACATCTAACTTGTGATTCTCTGACCTTAACTTCCCAAGTTGGTGGGATGTGGTACTTTGATTTCTTAAAGAAGAAATTTCATTCTTCCATTAATAAAATAAGTTTAATACTTAATATGAGGTTAATGAGTCTAGGAATTCAGTTCTAGTCATTGCCTAAGCCCTGAAAAGAGAAATGAACCGTCAAAAATTTCTATCATGACCCAAATTGCTTTTTAGTGATGACTCTTAAATGAGGAAGTATCTTCTTTGACAAATAAATAAATAAATAAATAAATAAATAAATAAATAGATAAATAATCCAAATATTTTCTGAAGGATATCACCATGGTATAAATCTGCAGACAGGTGTGTTTTGGCAGAACAGTATAGAGTTAAGAGTTTTATATAAAAAAAATGGCTCAAACTTGTTCTGAAACACTAATATTTATCTTTTTACCTGAGGCAGCCTCAGAATAAATTCTACAATACATATTTGTGTTATTATGAGAAGTATACAAAATAATATATGTTAGTGTAGTACAAAAATTATCACATGCTAAGCCTATGAGCAACAACTTTGCCTCTGGATGAGACTCTGGCTTTGAAAAATAGAACCCTAGGGCCCTTTTTCACAATAAGATGGAGACACTAGGAGAGTATTTTTAAAATCTTCTCAGCCAATTCCACTGTAAAGTCACCATTCAACACACATGTAGTAGGCATCCAACTTTAAATTTTGTTTTCACCTCTTTGCTCTAGAGACGTTAATTTCTAGCATGAATACTTTGGGAAAAAAACTTCTTTTATTCAGACTTGTCTGTAAAATGAAGTGTTTTAAAATCATTCACAATGCAGAAAAGACATGAAGATCTTTTCTGGTTAAATGGAAGATGAGAATACTTTCTAGGGAGTTTACTATCGCAAGGCTAATGATAATCATTTAATCATTTCCATTTCTTTGCTTATTGTAATGTGATCATATCTTATCATGAGAGGCATCCCATCACATCACTGGCTCAGGAGTAAAGGGCCAGGTTTCTATCATTTAAATGCTCTGTAATTTAGTGTTTTTCATATGCAAAGATGCTCATTATTATTCTGCAAACTTCAAACTTTTTTTTTGAGGATCAAATGTGGTTATATGAGTTTATGGAAGTGGCTGAGAGTAAATTTGGAGTCAAACTGTCTTGAATATTTGTTTCAGACTCCATCTCCAAATTTTACTAATTCTTTGTACTTAAACGAATAGCAAAACTTTCTAATCCTTGGTTCCCTAATCTGTGAAAAGGAAGATGATAGTTTTGTCACATCATAGACTTTTTGAGATAATTAGATGCAATTATTTAGGTAAAGAATTATTGATATGATGTTATTAAGAGCTCACTGTCATTCTTTTGATAAATACATTATATGCAAATATATGTAAAACTGAATAATAAACTGGTCTTTTAAATTCTAAGTGGTGGTAGATGTTTTAATGTATAATTGTCATTTTGCATAATAGTAATATATTTCCATAAATTTGAGAGGAAACCACAAGAAAAGGAACCTTGTAACCATAACAAGAAGAAGGTTAGATACAAGAAATAAGTTTTGGTGCTCTGTAGTACAGCAGGGTAATTATAATAATGCATTATTATCATTAATGATGATAAAAAAAACATAAGGTGATAGATATGTTAATCATCCTGAGTTGATTCTTTCCAAAGAGAAACATGAATCAAAAGTCACAATCTTACAATCCACCATATAAATATGTACAAATATTATATGTCAATGAAAAGTACTTTTTAAGAAAGTGATTTCCTTAGTAAAATTGCCCAACCAGAGCTAGACACACAGCCTTACATTCTTCTATACAACCTATCTCACATCATTTTCTTCTTTCAAAATAAAAATTAGTCCTGGCTGAAGAATTAAAAGTGTTTAACAAAGTATGCATCAGGCACACTGTACCCTAGGTACAAAGTTGTTTAATGTTATTTGGATGGATGGCATTCAGAAGAATGTCATCTCTCCCATCCACCCAAATCTC